CCCCAAACCCCCAAAACCCCAAAACCCCATAATGCCTATAAATGTGTCAATTAAAACAAATCGATACATGCTAATAGATTAATTAATTTAAAATAAATAGACAGTAACCTAATTAGGACTCGTCTTGTTGTTGATTATGATGTCTTAATCTCACTTCTATTATATTCATAATAAGTATTTTGCTAAATCTTATTTCTCCTCTGCACTCATCTTTGATTCTAATTCTTGAAGAAGAGCTAGATTGTTAGTCATGATAACATTTTTAATGAATTTTCCGACCTCTTGTTTGAAGTGATCTGAAATCTCATCACATTTCTCGTCTATTAAAACTTTAAGACAAGTGAAGGTAATGTTTTGCATGTATGGCTGGACTTTTTCGGGGGCTAAATAAAAATATAACTTCAAAGATAATCTTACTTAATGAAAAGATGTTGAAAGCGAATTTAAGAGCAGTCTCGTTTTCATTCAAATCCCCTGTCAAAGGAATGTTCTTGAGTATGAAGTCAAGGAGTTAATCGAAAGGTACGAGTTATGAATAGTTTTAGGCAACTCTGCAAGTGGCAGCGATAACATTATCCTTGGCATCTTGCTCTTCACTCTGATTGAAGAGGTTGTTTAGCACAGCTAGGACTTGAGTGAGATTTTATTAAAGAAGAATTCCTGATTTCTCAGCTAAAATACCGATGGCGTAGGCGCAGTTTCTGTTTAAGCCTGAATGATCAGTGTTTGAATTCTTAAGTACAATTTGTAAGAAATCATTGTAATAGATTGGGATTGCAGCTGGGCAATTATTAAAGCTCTCAGTAAGACATCCAATCACCATAACTCTATCACTGGTAGGATGAGAGTCATCGAGATATTTAACAAGGCTTGGCCCAATCTTGGCCATAAATGTCATGTATTGATCTCCGAGAGCTTTAGCAAGAGAAATAATGACATCGGTGGTATTTCCAAGAATGATCTCATCATGATCTAGATCTTCATCATCTTCATCATCTTCTTCCTCATCTTGATCATCATCTTAGAACTCATCACCGTCATCTTCTTCAACTTCACCCTTGAAGTCTTTTGCCTTTGTTTGGCAGAAGGCTTGCTTATCTAGCAATAATAGAATCATATTGTGTAGATTGTCAAGTTGGTTAACAACACTACCTGGTCCTAACTCCTCGCACATCTCTCTGATGCACTCAAGAGTCTTTTCAATGACTTCTTTGTTAGCCTCATCCTCAAAGATTTTGTAATAGTGGGGGAAGATAATTTAATCAATAAACTCTTGAACTTTATCTGGGAGTGGGATCTATACTGGAAGTCCCTTCTTCCATTAGAACTTAGCATCTATGTTAATAAGGTGTCTTAGAAGTCCAATAGCAATTTAAAGATATGTCTGGCACACGTGATATCTGATGTTTTCATGGAAATAGAATGAGATTTCACTGAGTACGTCCAAGATTTCTTGCATTCTTGGCAATAAGAGACCACAGCAATGAAGAGCTATATTTCCAAGAGCATGGACTGCTGCTGATTTTTCATCTATAAAGTTAACATCAACGTCCATTCCAACCAAGTCAGCTTCATCTTCACTGTCTGAATCTAGTGAGAAGGCTTCCTTTGGTTTTTGTTGGATCTCTTCTTTGACACCAGCATTTGATTTGCATGAGTTAAGGATTTCATTTAAGACCTAGTCAAGAATTGGAGCCATATCGTTTCTGAGAATTCTAGAAATCTCAGCGAAGTAAGAGATAGCAGTTTCTCTTAATTCATACTTGTTTTGCTCAGTCAAGAATTAGAGACCATACTTAGTGAATGCTTCAATGCAGTCAGTGGGGAATTTATCTTTACCAACTGCAGCAGCTAACTAACCAGCGCACATCAATGCTTGTCCTCTGACAAGTTATTCTGAGGAGCCTAAAGACTCATTTACAATAGTATCATAAAGTGCTTTCAAGATTTGTTCTTGATATGGTAGAATTCTCTTCTAAGCAGAGCTCTCAATAGATCCAAGAGCAGTGAGGGCCCAGTATCTGACATCTCTAGAGAATTGGTGATTTTAAATATAACTGAGAAGAAGTGGGATCAAGATTTGAAGATAGTTCTTGACATCATCTTAGAGATTGTTGGTGAACTCATGGAGAGCGAAAAGACTCTTTTGAATAGTAAGGTCGTTGGCAGGGGTAAGTTCTTGTAGGACCTTAAGAAGTGATGGCACTACTTTCTCGTGCATATCAAGGAAATCTGGGACTACGTACTCAGAGAATTTACCAACAGTCTCAGCAGTTGCTTCTCTAACAATGAAACTTTGATCTTGCAATTTAGACACGATGAAAATGGTAATCTTATCCATATCCTCCTTAATCATATCTAAGCAAGTTGAATCGCAAACATATCCAAGTACTTTGATAGCAGCTTTTCTTTCTAGTTCTTTTGGCGATGTACCGAATTTCTCTACATACTTCATCAAGATTGGGTAGACTACAGTGTTTGGAACTTCAGTAGCAAAGTTGACGATCATATACAAAGAGAGGGTGTGTGGTGTGTCTTGCTCTCCTTCGAAATCTTGCTCACTCTCACTAGCAATGATGAATCCAGTCTCGATGATTCTATCGATGATGTGAACTAGATTCTTCTTAATAAGATATCTACTATAGTTTTCAGCAATTTGCTCTAGGAAGAGCATAGTGATCTCCCTCAAGTTAAGCGAGAATCCATTATTGCTTGAAATTTTCAATGCAGCATCAATCAGTAACTCAAGATGAGGAGCGAGAACTTTCTTGATCTCAACGAATTCGTTAAGAGTCTCAAAAACTCTTTGAATCATATCTTCTTGGTCGAGTTAAAGAGCAGCCATAACTAAGGGAATTAGGTTCTTGTACTTTTTCAAGATCTTAATTGCCTTTGGGGTCTGAGCGATTTTGTTTACTGTCTCAATGGCAAGAGTTTAGAGAGAGACAACTCCTGATTGCAAATGGCCTTCAATAATCTTGTTCAAGTTATCGTAATATGCCTTAATCTCGTCAACTGAGAAGTACTCGATGATAACAGAGAGAAGGATCATAGCTAATTCCTTATCAATCAACTTCTCTGAACTACTGTACTGGAAGAAGAACTGGAAGAGTTCATTCCACTCCTTATTTGGTATGAGTATTTTACCTAATGAACCAATAACATCTGCGATATTTTTCTTAATAAGTGGCACTGGCTCTTCTACGAATCTCTGAAGCAAGAGAATCTTAGTCTTGTCTTAATAATCCTTCTATAAGTTCATCCAGAGGTTTCCAATGATCTTTCTCAAGTATATACAAGCAACCTGTCTGATATTTTACTCTGGACTTTAAGACATCAAAATGAGCAAATTCTCTAATGCCTTTATCTTCTTGAAGTATTCTTTTAAGATTGCAGTAGCCTATTTAACCTACTCAGTGTTTGGCAAGAAGAGCTGGCTTAAGATGTTTTGCAAATCTTGTGATGTGATTGCTTCGAAGTCTATTTGTGGCTGATTTTCCATATGAAGTTGTAAAGCGTATATTATTAAATAATAAGGTTATTTAGCACGATTTGATAATAAATACTTCTGTCTGGGGTTTTGGGGTTTTGGGGTTTTGGGG